GTCTGGCTGCAGGAATCTTCGGGCACTGTCGGGTCCACAGACAATGGTCTTGGGGGCTGGGGAGGTGAGCTGGGGACAGAGCCAGACCTGCCCTGTTCTCAGGGGGCTCCTGGTTGTGTGCGTTGTGCCAAGGACACCACCATCAGAAGGGCCCTGTACTTGGTTTCATGCTCTGTTGTCACCACCTTAAAATTCTTAATCATTTTTGGACAAGTAGTCCCACATTTTCGTTTTGCCCTGGGCCCCACAAATCACATGACTGGTCTGGTCTGGGCAGCACCCGATGTGTGTTGGGGTGTGGTGGGTGAGAACTGATCCCTAGGCTCAGCACTATAGGCTGGGTGAGCTCAGGCAAGGCACTGTTCCCTTGGAGCCTCACGTGACCCAGGGAAAATGGCACTCATAGTCCTTTCCTCCCGGGGTCCTCAGCAGCAGTGACCCCTGGGGTCGTGTAGCATGTGGGGGTGGGGGTGGGTAGAAGGAATCCCAGTGCTCCAGGTCTCAGCTCTGCTATAGGTGTGCTGTGTGACCTTGGGCTGGTGGTCTACCTCTGTGGGCCTCTGTTCCAGCCATAGCCTTCTTACCAACATTCTTTGACACTGTAAACCTGTACCCCACTCACAGACCAGGACCTAGCAGGGGGTTTGACCACACAGGGAGCCCCGTGAGAGCCGGGGAGTGCAGCTCCCAGGGACTTACCTCTTGTGCAGGCTGCGTCTTTCCCCAGCAGCTGCCTTGTGGGCTCCACTTCCCCATTCCAGGGCTCTGGTCTGCAACTTCCCAGTGCTTTTACTGTGTCAGCTGAGACAGAGAGAGATACCCCAAGGTCAGAGACTCCCATCTGCAGGGCAAGGCTGAGATTCAGGGAGGCCTGAGGATGGGGGTCCAGAGAGGAGAACCCAGGGAAGAGGGGGCTCCCGGGACCCCCATCTCCTGGGTCTGGCCTGTTCCTCCTCCCTGACCTGCCCTCAACCCCACCCCTCTTTCCCCACAGGCCCTGACCCCTTTTCCGGATTTTGAAATTCTGCTGACATGGAGAATTGTGGGCGAGATGTGGACTTTCTTCCCTGTTATCTGTTTACCAACCAGGAGATTACTGGAAATAGAATATGTCAAGTCGCTTCCAAAAAGCTCGACTGAGATAAAGACAGATAATGTCACAGGCAGACAGAGGGGCAATGGTTAGAGGGGGCCACGGGGAGGGAAGAAGCAGGATGGGGGACCTGTGCTCTTGGACTCCACTGGGCGCCCCAGTTCCTCTAGACCTGCCCTGTCCCCCTCTCCTCTGTGAGTTCAAGTGGCTATTAAGTACCTGACAAGTGAGCCTCAGCGTTCAGATGTGCGGATAGTAGGGCAATGGATGGAGCCAATAGCGATACAGGCTGCCCAGGTAACTTGGAATTTCAGATA